GAGAGAGAGAGAGAGAAGCTACCTAGAGATCTCGGACCATAAACCTCAATTCCCCAGCACTGCAAAGTGGCTCTCAGTGCTTTACTTCTCAGTGAGGAGAAGAGCAGGTTGAGGAGAGGGCAACTGCAAAGCTGTCAGCCATTGATCTCCTCACATCATAACCATCATCCCACATGTAAGCAAGTCTGATCTTCACTGGGCATCTGAGTCCTCCACCGGGGTCACCAAACTGCTGCCACAGAGCTGTACCCATCAAAGGAAGAAGAAGAAGAAGAAGAAGGAAGGTAGGAAGACAATGTGGTGGTCAACAAAAGCTCAAGTAGTGAAGGGATTGGAAGAAGAAGAAGAAGAAGAAGAAGAAACAAAAAGGAAGAACAATGTGTGTGTGTGGAGTCGAAGGGTGGGGATGGAAAGCATATTTACGGGGAGTGCAGAACGCACTCACACGGAGTTCAAAGCTCGTTGGGGTCAGTGAATGCATACGTATGTGGGGAAATGGGATTCCCAAAAGCAACTCATCACCACTACAAAAAGGAAGTGAAGAGAGAGAGAGAGAGAGAGAGTGTGTGTGTGTGTTACGAGGAGATGAGGAAGATGGAGTGTGACTTGTGTTGACTGGATTATGACTTGTGTTAAAGTTCTTCATAAGCTTCGGAAGCCCCATTAATTACATCTTCTAATGATGGATTAAGTGCTGTTAATTAGCAGCAATATCATTTTGCAGTTCTCTTTCTCGGATGTAATTAACTACTCACATTTTATTAATTAGAATGTCGAGGGTGTTGATTAGTTAAGAATCAACGTACTTCAAAAAAAAAAAAAATAGAGTATTATATTCTAATAAATCTGTGGAGTTAGTGATAAAGGATAAAAAATTTCTTAATAATCTACGATGAACATATGTTTGAACCAAATTATTAAAAGTCGAATCGAATCGTATCGAATTATTTTTTTATTTGGTTCCATGAAAGTAAATTAGTTCAAATCGGAGCTACCTAATCATGAAATTCATTCAAAATCGATTAATTTAATTAATTAATTATAATTTTAAATAAATTTAATAATCTATACTTTTTGAATAATTCAATTCAATTAAATCGAATTAGAATTATACTTCGATGGAGTGATACGATAAGATTTATGAAATTGAACCCATGTCAATTACAAAATTAGGATTTTAGGTCGATTTGATTAAAATTGATTAATGACTTACGATAGTGAACTCAATCGGATTGATATCTTTGATATTAAAATGGATTTGAATTGATTACCCGAACCAAAGATAGATACTCCCGAACCAAAATGCTTTTAGTAAATTAATTTTGAGCCAATTCGATTTGAACACCTTTAAATAAGTAAAATAATTAATATTCAAAAAGAGTCATCTCCTATATATACAAATAGAATATCGAGGAGTCGATACTAAGTAGATCATGATAACTTGATGCGTAACGGATTAACCTTGGACTAGTTTTATCATATGACTACTCTAAATGTCTATTTCGATTATTGTTGAGCCATGCTTATATGATCCATTCTAAAGAAAAGACTATTCTAAATGTTGATTTATTCTTGGTGGAGCCCATGAGGTTGACTTTTTACACATAAATATCATAGTGGAGCATATGGGGTCTTTCTGATGAGGTTGACTTTTCACAAGAGCAAGAGCGTATGTTACTGCCTATATTATTATTTCATGATAGTTTACACCTTTCTTGGAATCATAATAACATGGTAAATTGTAGGAGGAAATTAGACTCTCCTACCGAAAAGGAAAAGAAGAAATGTAAACCATCAAAGAAAGGATTATTTGGACTCGGCAACTGCTGGAGAGAGACTTCATGAGACTCTCCTCCGCACTTACTTTTGATTTCTCATCGAATCTTGATAATACGTTAAACTAAGATAAATTTTCTTTTGGGAACTTAAGGAAAGAGGCATCAAAACAAAACATGTTGGAGTAGTCAAAGATGATGAGATCTGAGCAGAATAAATAGGAACTATGACCATGTAAGACTCTCTTATTGTTTACACACACCAAACTGAAGACGAGCATTATGGAGAGAGACAAGATGAACAGGAGGGCATGGTGAGGATGAAACACAGCACAGCATCAAGAAGAAGAAGAAGAAGAAGAAGAAGAGCAGTAGTTGCAGAAGCTGCGCGGCCTCACTCGGATCAGCCTATACCAGGAGAATCGTTGCTGTTAGCTGTTGGCGAAGGTGGTGCAAACTCTGTCCGTCTTGCCAAGCTCGCAAAGCTCCGTAGACTCGCCGTGCCTCCTACACCTGGGCACATGACTCCTCGTTCCATCACCCACTCTTACTTGAAAGGAAAAAGAAGAAGAAGAAGAAGACAGAACAGATTCAGACCTGTGTGACTTGGGACTTCCCTCGAGTCGGATGGAAGGATCAGGAGAGGTGACAAGAGGAGGACAACCATGAACATGGAAGAAAGAGTCCTTGCAGCGATAGGATGCTCCATTTCCGCAGCTCCGGTGGGTGGGATAGGGAGTCGGATGAACAAGATCGAAAGGGGGTATGTAGACATTTGTATCTTTCATGTTCCTGACTTGTGGTTGCCAGCTTCGCGCCACTTCCGCCCTCCTTTCATATGTGACCTCAAAAGTCTTGGCAGAGACTTTCTAGAGATTGATGAAGGCCAATGGTTGGCTGCTGCCCATTATACAGTCAAACATTCAAACTGGTGATTGGGAAGTAGCCAGTTGACTCTTCTTCTTTTTCTCATTGCAGTATTCCTCCCTCCCTCTCTCTCTCTCTCTCTCTCTCTCTCATAGTCTAGCAGCAACTCAATAAATCAGTCAGCAACAACTCAATCAGACCATAGTTTTCTAACCATGGTTAAAATTTTTAAGTAACTTTCTCCATAATTAATACATTAAAATACATACAATAAACGCAAACTTAAAACCTGTCAATTGCGTAACAGTATCCTAACATCAAGAATGTATAAACTGCTAATCATATGTGTCATACAAACCAATCAACAATTTTATTTATTTATTATATTTTATTATTTTATTATTTTATATTATTTTATTATTTTATTATTTTAATATATTATGATGCTCATAGACAATATACTTGTCTATATGATAGATGCAATTAATCTCGTAGCTGCTTGTGTGAAGGCATTAGGGATATAATATAAATGCTCATGAAAGGATATAATATAAATGCTCATGAAGAATGAGTTCACTAATTGATCCACTTACATAATACTAAATGATTGAGCTTCCCACCACTTCCGCCCTCCGTGTGAAGTCAAAAAGTCTTAGCAGGGAATTTTTAGAGATTGATTAAGGCCAATGGTTACTCCTCTTCTTTTTCCTATTGCCGTCTTGAAAGGGTTGGTCGTGTGAACCTTATGGAATCTCTAGTCTAACTCGATAAATCATTCAGCAACAACTCAATCAGACCATAGATTACTAACCATGGTTAAAAATTTTAACTAACTTTCTCCATAATTAATACATTAAAAAACATACAACAAACCCAAACTTAAAACCTGTCAATTGCACAACAGTATCCTAACATCAAGAATGTGTAGTAGAGAGGCACAAACCTTGCAAGAAAAGTAGATCATATGGTGGTATGTTTGACTTGTCCACACTGGTTTGAGCAATGCCTGAATACTGTAATCTTACCTTTTGTACATGACATTCTCACATTTATATATTTTAAATAGCAAGAGGTCGTTTTCATGATTGGAGATCTTATCACTCAGTTTACCTTATGCATACATGTGAGCCTTATGGGACTGACTCATGAAAAGAGACCCCAAATCATGATAGATTACCTTTCAAGGGTGGCAGTAGCTGCCTCAAACTCTCCCTTGAATTAATTATATCACAACGTATCATATGGTACACAATCTTAATAACACTCAACTTCCAATATTGTTAAGTGTCCAACCAATTCTCCACAAAATTAGTGGAGTCTATATTACAACTGAAACAAAAGCACAAAAAGTGATTTCAAAGATGACGCATATGGAGTAGACATCAGGAAGATATTGCTCACTTACATGAAACCAAGCTGAACTCCTCCATTCATATGCAGCAAGTTTTGACAAATATCAAGAACCATAGTGAATACATACTATGCGACAAAATTTCGATGCAGGTCTGAGTCCTCAAGCTTTGTGCTGTGCATGAATGCAGGCCCGCACGAGATGATGGGGAGCTGGTACTTTTTCATTAACAAGAAGTTGCTCCACGAAATCGACACGGATAGATTGGAAATGATAATGCTGCTTCACCATCAAATAAATTATCAAAACGACAAAAAGAGGATGAAGTTACTGAAAATACAGTACAACGTTCTGCTAACAAATCCAAGCCAAGAGGTTGAAACAACACGCACGTGCCACCCAATGCCTATAGAATCCTATTTTACCAGCTCCTAATCATATTAAATCAGTTATAGAAAGTGATGCATCTCTAAAATAATAGTAGATATGAAAAATGCAAAAAAGTAGCTGAGGTTCTGAACAATTAATTCCTAATGACTAGTCTGAATTCACAACATGAAAACAAATCTGAAATCAGCAGTTCACTGTATGCAAATAATCAATTGTCTTCCAGATCGTCATTATATAAAATAAAATCACAAAAAACCTTTGTCCTGTTGACCTGAAAAGAAAGTAGGACCCTCAAATACAGCCAAGTATGAATAACTATACACCATGTCATTGCCCCAAAACTTGAGAACTCTCGATGATGTGTGCAATGACTGAAGTGAGTTAAAACACATCCATCTTCACATAGAACCATATGAATTGATATAACTTTCAAGTGCCTCTTACAGCAGTAGATTTAGTCCGCTCGTGTAATCACCATTTAAATACTTGCACTCAAGCACGACTGCATGATCTATCCTCTTAAAAAAAAGCTTATCACATAAACAAACTATAACAAAGTTATCGAAGGCACACGACACATCAGGTAAACTCTGATGGAACTTAGGTGAGGTAAGAGGCATACACATTTGAGAAGTCAACATTTATGGTGAGTGCTGATCAAGAAATGGATGTTCCTACCATTCAGTAGTATCATCCAGTACAAAAACAGATGCACAAAACAGTGAAGACGCGAAAAATAGGGGAAGCAGAAACCACTGGGTCACCTAGATTTATTAAATAGCAGCATAAGGTAACAAACTGAAGGGACGCGTAGTTAGACAATGACCATAACAGAAGAAAGCACAAAGAAGAATGAAAGAGAAGAGGCAAAAAAGAACAATAAAAAGCAACATGGAACGAAACACAGAAGAAAGAAGAAAGCATGGTGGAAAAAGACAGATAAAAATAATGAAAAAACAGGTGACAGAAAGCACAACCAGAAAATGAGATACAAAGTGAAATCCCTATCAGTCAATCTATCCTCATAAATTTCATCTGACAGACAGGAACAAAAGTAGAGAGACAAAAAAATATATAAATGTATGATCAGGTGTGCATTTGCACCCAGAAGGCACATAAACATGCAACTTCAGCATGCCTCATTGGAATATGAAGCCTCAGCCAAGGCAAGGTACAAAGTTAACCATCAGTGTGCCTTGCCTTTGATAACATGGAATCACAGATAATATAACCTGAATTGCTGGATATAAGAATCAGTCCTACAATGAAAATTTCAAATGGCATGCAGGGAAATCAAGAAACAAGGAAGAACAAGCAATATCAGGCATGAATTATAAAGATTTAAAGAAGTTTAAAACCCTACCGTGCCTTTCCATGAAAAATCAATTACTCGGTAATGTGGTTCCATCAATATTACTCGATCTCCTTCTTTAATCTACAGGGGAAAAAAATAAATTACCCATTAATTGCCAAGTTGACACCAAAATTGAATAAGTGAGTTTACATTGCATTAAGAAGTCCAACTGACTTAAAATTCATTATCTGGAAAGAAGAAGAATTTAGCGAAATCGAAGTGCAAATGAGCCAGCTAAAAGGTCATATGCAAAGTCATATCTGCAATTTTTTTTTGTAAAATATAAACAAGATATATGAAGTATCACAATTTATGATTCTAATATTTGACTGAGCAAGTTAAAAAAATCTCTCAAGCTTCAGAGAAGGATAAGACCAAATTTATGACACTTGAGTGAGTATGATAACATGGCATTTAAAAAGATTCTCAAGATGCTAAATGAACGGTTCAATTTAAATTAGATGACAGGGAAAACGTTAGAAGTTTAGTAGAAATCCTTACAGCATCACTATGAAGTCCATATACTGACAGGACAAAACAAGTTTGATCTGAATCACATATTAGATAATACCTGAAAAAAAAGGAATTGTGCTCAATGAAGTCGGTTCCATTATAGTTATAACTTATAAGTACTGATGCAAAGAACATGCAAAAGAACAGAAGAGACGAGGAAGCTCCACAGATATGAGGCATGCTTTGGGTCCCATGACACTGTGCACAACCAACCACATGTCATGGAACCTGACCAAAAAGTATTGTTTTTCCCCCCTTTCCTGTATGTCTTTAGACTCTTTACAAGGCTTAGTATAATGGGAATGGGAACTGGTGCTTCTCATCGGCCAGCATTCCCATTCCAGTTCCCGCCCCAGTATATATAGCAAAATATGATTAATTTAAAAGTTGCAGTGGACAGCATAGAGGAGACAAAAACCAACATAAACACCATTTGCTGCTCACAATCATGGTTATGAACTGTGTTAATGTTTACTTTACCCTTTAGCCTTCTTATAGAATTATTAATTTAATAAAAGATTCCATGGAAACAACATTAATTGGAAATTGATCCTTGAATATCCAGTTATATGTTAGATTAATCATTTTGGCATCTTGTTTAATTGGCTGAGACAAAGCATATTTCTCCTTTCCTCACGTTTTAAGTCTGACATAGTAGCTTTATTTTACATGCTATGAATCTCATGACCTTTAGGACAAGGTAGAACAACAAGAACTATGGAATCATTGATTGAGAGTCATATAGAAAAGAACGAATTTGATTGAGTTTATAAAAACTTACAGCGGAGCAACGTTCTCATGTTTTATGAAGAGGAGTACTTTTCCAATTATTGCAACTGCTTTGTTGAGCCCTTCCTTCAGGACATTAACAGTAGCTTTGCCATGTGATGATTTCACTTCAAAACAAACAAACATTAAGCAAAAATTCTTGAGATTATTTAAGTGTAGTCCTATAGAATCACTGAACAAAATACTTACAAATAACTTCACCTAAGGATGATACAAGTGATGCTAATCGTTTAGACCTTGACAACCCCTACAAGAACAATATTGTGTTATGGATGTAATCAGGGGTAACATGTTATAGGTACTACAGAATTACATAATAAGCCCATTTATTCTTTAGCAAATAAACCATATACAAAGAAAATAGGTAAGTACATGGGTGAATACTAAACATTCATACAATGAAAAAAAATTCCCGATTTGAACTTAATCTAATAACCATGAACGAAAACCCCAGAAAAAAGGACAAGGGGTTCTGAAAACATAACCCAATCAAATAAAGCACAAACAAGTTAATCAGGTTCTCATTCCCTGAAAGACAATGACACATGCTTTCCAGGAACATAACTGCAAGACATGCAGATAGAATCAAGCCTGGAAATATATCTGTCAATTAAATAAATTAATATTTACTTGGTTCATTGTTCTTATATTGATGCTACATGGTCCACATTTCTCATTCTTTCATGTTATAGATATCTTCTCTATTTAAACTTCTAATTTTTCTCAACAAATACCAGGTTAATACTTAATACACTTTATTTTATGCCAAATCCCTTATGCATCAACACATATAATATAGTTACCAACAGATAAAATAGTAATCTTTCATAGCGTGCCAAAAGTTCTATATACATAAGTTTCTGTATTTATTTTTTCCTAGCCTTCATCTTACATGTTTCTGAAATAAGCTGGAAATATGTTTGCCGGTGGAGCTTGAGGGAAAATATCATTTGTGATGGCTTCTACTACAACTTCTCCATGTTCTTCATCAAACCACAATGACTTGTTTTTCTTTCTTGACTTGATGTACACTGTTGGATGCTGTTTCCAACTTTCCATTGTGATATACAAAAGTTCCACACTATACAGGAGAGAGAAAATAGAAGGGAAGAGGTCAAGTCATCAAGAGGAGAGAGAGAGGGAGAGAGATTGAATCAGACAAAACAGAGAAGGGATGAATCCACGACATACCAAGACAGTTCCATACTACTCTTTAATTGAGTCACCTTTAGGGCTCCTGATATTGATCCAGATAATAATTCTTATCAAACTAGGGATAACTCGTAAAACCATACTATTTGACATCAAAACCTGACATCAAAGATTATGACTAAAGTACCCAATACTAGAAAATATTCGACTTAAGCTACTGCAACTGAATCAAACAAACCAAGTTCTGTGTAGGACATGCAGACGATATAAGTTAAATTTCAGTAAACATCTATTTATCCTGACTGCATCATTTCATTGCCGCCTCATAATTTTTCTAGGAGAATATTTATGATGTCAAGGAATGAAATTCCAGTAATTTGCAAGCTAATATCAAAAGGCTTTAAAGTTAGATGTTTCAAATGCTACAGATATACTAACAATTAGTACTAATGTAGTTAGATATCTCCAGATGTAAAGGGATCAGATTAAGGACCTAAATAGTATAGTACAAGGAATTGACAGCAACATATTTGGATTAAAACTCATGATGTGGGAGAGATTCTGATAACCTAAGTTATCAGAAGTGGTAGGAAAATTGAGTTGACAAATAAACTAGAAGGATTTATGATCCTCAACTTGGGCTTAAGCACTTTAGCAAGTGGTTGAGGCCTATCAAATTAATAGGTTAGTAATCCCATCAAGACATGTCATGACAGTTTAAATCTCAACACTAAGATGATAGTGGAATATGTTTGGAAACATTCTCATTTGAAAGTATTCACCTCCAAAGGCAAACAGAAGTAGCCCGTATATTTAGGTCTTCACTATAATCAATCTGTTGTCTATCACTGATATACAGTTTAAAAGTACATATTTCAGGTGAGTTGGCACTGTGCTCTGCTGTCTTTTTGGCTTATTTAGAGGAATATTATTCCCCATGGAAAATTTGGTGTTTCCTCAATGATACTTCTTTCATATCAAGCCTAGTTATAGATTCAATCTCTGATCTATTTGCATCACTTTGACTTGTGACCAAACAAATAAATCTTCCCATCCACCAAAAATCACTTTAACAAGGTAATCTCACCCTTCCCGAAAAATCTAGGTTAGCAATTTGGCTCCTGCTTGAGAGAGAGAATACCTGATGAATGGCTAGTCATAGATTCAACCTCTGTAACTTTCAACTAAGATTTCTTGACTTTGAGCAGTATACTATAGCCAACTCATATAAATGGAAAAGACGGGTGACGATGACATTGCAGGTGATACTATATGTACATTAACTAGAGTTACTAGACAATTCTACCTATTTTTAACCTCATGCTATTTGCTAGAGACTTCAAAAGTACAGTCAAAAAGCTTCTGCCTAAGATTCATTTTTTATTGGTTCCTCCATAACATGACAATGTTCCCAGTTACCCAGTAACACAAAACTGAGAGATAAGAATTCTGCATCTCCTTAAGAACTAAAGAAGGATGATAAATAAGAGAAAATGTATTACCCTTAGTGAACTCTCTATCTTGTCCAGAAGACTAGTGATCTTTTGAGCTTCATCATCAGCATTTAGGCCAGGATCCTTCGAGGCAGCAGCTTCAAAACCATGAAGGGCCCTTTCATAGTTTTCTAGATACTTGTTTGCCTGAAAAAGAGAAAAACAGAGATTGTTGAGAATGCGAACATATGCCAACATAGAAATACAATTCTGTGTCCCTTTCAAGCAATTTGAGTTAACAATATAAGCTAAACTAATAGTTGATGGATAAAAAACATGCTAAATACTTACAGAAGCACAATTGAAGTAAAGGTCTGGATTAGAGTGCATTAGTTCATCCTTCTCCTAACGTGCATTTGCAGATACAGCAAACAATTTTTTTACAAAAAATTAGCAACAAAAACTGGTTATAAATAAAAAATTGGAAAAAAGAAACTGCATTCCTTTGAAAAACCTATGCAGCAGCCAACAACATGCAGCATTGTAAATCTTACAGCATTTTGATAAGCTTTCAGTGATTGCTGTAGTTTTGCATGGTCCCATGCTCCAGTCACAAAAAAACTCGTTAGACATGCATTTCCAAGATTGTCTGAAAACGGAGCACATGTAAGTCAAGGAGATTCAGAATTCCCAGATATAAATGAACGAAATGGTCTATAATCCTAATAATATGTCACCAGAAGAAAGGGTCAAGAAGTAATACAGCAAGAATAGGAGATACCAAGTCATACAGTCAAAATAAATAACTCACTTTAACATGCATCAAATAGGTTTACACTAGTAACTTAAGTTTAACCATTTATTTATGTCCAAATGGGCTCATTTTATCCACATCACCGAACTATTGGGTATGTTGGGTCATCATAATTGGTATCACAACCAGGAATTTATAAACCAGTTTGTGATAAATATTGTTCCTCTATTGGACGCCTGTGGTAAGTGTTGCATTCATATCAGAATTACTTCTAAATGGTCAGTCTACCATGTATCAGTATTGGATCAAACTGGTAAACATCACTCAGTATGGTCAAAACGGTTTGGTATTTGAAAACTTAATTAAAGCAAATGCAGAACTAATATGTTAAGGGCCAAAGTAACAGTAGGCTCCTCATGAATGGTATAAGTAGCATGCTGGACACGGTTGCAGGGTGGAACAACAGTGGCTCTACAACTTCCACATGCAAATAGGAACAATTCTAGGCTATATTAACAAGGACATCAAACCTTTATATAGGAAAGGCCATGGCATTCAAATATATATCAGACAAGATGATGATGGTTTGGTTGGTACAAAACACTTGGAGGGCCTAATACTAGTAACTTGTATAAAAATATTAAATAACATAATTAAGGCTTGTTCAGTTCAAGTCATTGGTCTTGAATTAATACCAAAAGGTGGAAACAAGATTTAACACAATGAAAGGAATTACACAAATGACTGTAACAAGCAAGACCAATAATCCTTTCGTTGTCCTACATCAGCTTCATTTAATCCTTGAACTCAACCTTATCTTTTCTTTCTTTGTGTAATCAAAGGATTAGTTCTTCTTAAACTAACTAAAATATACAACAGGGTTAGCTGACCACCCGAGTTGGTATGGTATGGTATGGTACGGGCGATACGTACCGATCTGACGAGCAACCGAGACGCGGATCGCCCGATTACCCGTCGGCATGCCCGGCATACCATGTGTTGGTACACCGGTAAAGACCAATATGTACCGACCTGACAAATCTCCGAGACGGGTTCGATACCCAAAATGGTGAACCATGATATACAATACAAAACACCACAGAACATCAGCAACTTAAAAGTGATGACATGAGTCACATGACAACATCAAAAGAAAGTATTAAAAAAAAATATTTTCCGATCCACTTGATACATGCAGCATGAATAAATGCATAAACTAATCAGAAAGAAACCATTAAGTAGTGCTCCATAGCTTCCATTCCCCAAAACTCCAACTAATCACCATGGAGTTACACTTTGTCCTGAAGCATCTCATTTCAGATTGTTAACTTTTATGATTTAAGTGGAGCAACTCATTAAATGATTTATCTCAGATCCAGAATCCAGCAAGCAATTAGATAGTTAGTTAAAATATATTGGTCATAGTGAAGCAGAAGCTTTTAATGCATAGTTTTTCACCTAAATACTGGACCCTAGTTATTTTCTATTGAGAATTAAGGTTCTCAGTTATTCTACAAGTGGCACATTGTAGCCAAGAGTACATAAAGAGAGTTGAAATTCTGTCCACATCTTAAAGAAGAAATGGGATTCAAGATTCACAAAGAGGAATTTAGATTGAATGCTTGTATCATCAGTAGAAGGGTCTGAATTCCCCGATTTAGAAACTCTGGACAGTGACATCACCAGCAAAGAAGCCTCTACCATCTAGACAGAGCTCTTTCCTCTGTCTCTTGTTTGTTTGTCATCTAAATGATTTTGTCATGCCTCCATGTCACCATTCGTATGTAACATTGTTTACATTGATTTTGGAGATTATATGATTAAACTCTGTCCTTTGCTTCCCAGTTGCCAACTTGCTGAATTTGGCATTATCTTGGCAACTCTGGTTTTAGTCTTAGTTTTAGTTGTATCTTATATTGGCATTTAATAGTTGATTCAGATATCCTTTTCTAAACACGTGACATAGCAGCTGGCACTGCAATTGTTGGTGTCTGCTGATTCCTCATCCGTGACCCATAATCCACTTCCCAGACACGTGACATATTGGTCTTTACCGGTGTACCAACCTCCTATAATTTTCACTAGTTGTGATTCACAAATTTTTTCCACAATGCCAGACCAAAACCACCATGGGATCAAGGAAAAGACTCCAAACTCATGAGATCGGGACTCCGAACTACTTTTTGGTCCAAAGTTGGGAATAACAATATGTAAATGTCACTATGGATACTCAAATATATATAATTTGAATGATACTTGATTTTATTGGAAAATGGAACCTTACACCACGAATTTCCATCCTTGATATCCAACATTACAGCTTCTCTTGCATGTTTAATGCTTTCTTCAATAGAGGCTGCTTTATTTTCTGCGCCTATATGTAAAAGTAACAGACACATTAAATCTTAAATAGAAACAACATTATCTTAGAACAGATAGCAGCTAACATTTTGCATAAGAAACTAAAACAAATAAAACAATTTTTTTGCCAAAAGTCAACCTAGCCATAAATGGGGAGCATTTGACTTGACAAGATTCAATTTCTAAAGAGTTCACTTAATGCTTCTTACATTTGATTAGAGCTATCAAACTACATGTTGAGCAATATGTTACGAACATGAGGACGCAACATAAATAACTAAGCTAAGAACTCAAACCAAGGATCAAGGTCTAAAGGAAAGGAAATCTTTTGGTAATGTGACATTGTGGATCTAGTAGTCTTGGAAAGGAATGATATCATGAAAGTAAATGCAGTTATTAAGGAATTTGCACACAAAGAAGTACATGAAAGCACAAATACAAGATCAATTTATTTGAAATATGTATTTCAACACAATCCTACAAGTGAGTGCATAAAGATATTCAATAACAACAACAACAAAACCATAAGTCTCAACTATTTGAGGTCGGTTACATGAATCTTTTACCATCATTGAAATCTATAAAAAGTCATATACTTAGTTAAGTTCAGAGTATTTGAATCTTTATTTATAATGTCTTTTAAGGTCTTTTTAGGTCTTCCTTTATCTCTCCTCATACCACTAACATTAATTATTTTGATTTCAAATTAAAAAAAAATCAAATGATGTATTATAACAAACTTAATTAAAGCTATAAATTAACTCAGAAGTGCAACACAATCTTTACAGATAAATCATAGACCTTATTGTGCATACATCCATTTGTTGCATATGCATGAAGAAACTAAACAGTTACCAATGTAGATCCATGTTTTTAAGGCTTCCTGTAAGTGCATCTCCTAAAGCTTCAAGTTCCCATAGTCTTCAAACACATGAAACATAACCATAATTCCCTACATGTCATTTTGTCTCCTTGAATAACCTTGTCAGAACAATCAGTTCATGTCTGAAACTAGATCTCATGTTTTGCATGACTACTTAGACCAATTATTTGCATGAAAAATTGTGCAGCCATGAGATACTATACTTGCCTTGAGCCAAACTTCTTTCAAGCATTGATAGCTGACAAAGAATTTTCTTGTTAGGGCCCTGCATAATTCAAGTTTGATCCTGAATAAAAATGTAATGAAAGGTCAAGCTACTCAAGTAAGTAGTACAAGTAATAAAAATTCCCAACAGAAGATTATTTTCTATAAATACCTTGCTTAATGCTAAAGAAAAGCAGTTTTTTGCTGAGGGCAGATCTCCTTTCTTCCAAATGCAATTGCCCAAGCATAACCAAGCATCTGCAAGAGATGGATTCAACTTAACCTGAAATGTACAACACCAATTTTAAACAAAGCCTGCTTTTAAATTCATTATATCAGCAAAAGAATTTTGTTATGACATACAGCTTTTGATAAATGATCTTCTGCTTCTTTTATATAGTCAGGAAATACGTCTAGCATTTTTCCCCTCAAGTATTCATAATTTGCACGTTGTAATGGTGACTTCCTCTGCTCTGCATAATTTGGAAGAAGAAAAAACTATTCTCAGATAAACATGACATGCTGCTCAAGCCATTAAAAGACATTAGCAAACAATCACATTGAACTCATTTGTTCAGAAGAACAATTTATAAGAAGGTAAAGTACACACAATAAATTATCAACTTGATACGGATAACAGATGGTTGCATTGTCTGCACATTGGTGTCCTGACATTCTCTTCATTACACCCTATAAAAAGGTTAGATCAATACAATGATATCATTCTTCAAGAGTTAACAAGTTCCATATGCCTAACAAATCATCATTCAGGACTTGTCCCTCAAAAGATAGTTGCTTGTGAATAAGAAACTTGTAGAGTCTTGCAACTTCAGAATCTTGTGATGTGTGTACACAGCAAACATTAACTACAAATAATTATCCAATTTCCAGTCTAGAAACAGTTCAAAAGTTAAATCAATTTGTTTTAAAAAAGTCTCTATATTACCTACTTACATATTTACCACTTAAAAGTGTCAAAATGAGTCAATACCCTAACAAAGTCAAATTCCTAGAATGAATTCTGACATAGCATATTCTGGCATCCACTCCACGGACATGTCGGCTGCCACGGCGAACCTGGCACGACGTTCCGAAGCCAACGTGGCGCACTGAGCCAACTCGACACCCCGGATCTGAACGAGGCAGCCGCCTGCCATCCACGCCGCTAGCACACTACTCTAACACCGCTCGAGGTTGTACAGAGCGGCTTAGCCCCGTCCTGAGCTACTCCATAGGTGCAGAGCAGCGCCGAATGAAGCAGGGTCAGATAGATTAGACTACGCCCGTGTCCCAGCATACGAGCTGACCACCTATGGCGACGACGACCATTAAACACCTACATACGGAGACGCCGACGATCATTAACAGCTACGTACGTCAACACATGGTAACAAATATAAAAGCCACCGCCAGGAACAGTGCTGGGGGTGGGACCTCATACACACACACTCTGTCTCCAACTCTTGCTAACTTAAGCATCGGAGGAGTCGAGTCGGGAATCCCCCTCTCGATTCCGACTTGTGTGCAGGCACCCGACGGACAGCTAAAGAAGTTATCTTCAACCTCCACTTGGGAGAACGAGGCCTATGCCCCCTCAACTAGACCTCGAGTTAACACGCTCCAGCTTAGAGGTCGTGATGGTGATCTTGCACACTTTGGATGGGCCAAGCCATGCTGACACCTCAGCCACGGCATAAAAGTGCAAAATATTGTTGGCGCTAGAAGGAGGGCCCATGTTGCAAGAACGCCAACTGCCGACCAACCTCGGTGAGCGTCCTGGAGAAGAGACGCATGCAACCCCCTCCACTTTTGGCCTCGGGGAACAACTCCCTCTCCCTCCGCACGCGAACGGAAATGTTGCATCCCAGACCCCGACCTGCTACTGGAGGTTGTTTAACGACCGAGGGTGGAGAGCCCGGGACCCTCCGTCGTCTCCGCCGAGGCGTTCCTCAGACTCACCTATCAAGTCCAAGCTTTGACTGGGATGATGTAAACCATCATTCCCCTCATCCCCCAGCTTGATCAGCCAACAACATCGCCGCAACTGCCCTTGCCTATGGCCCCACCAACTCTACCCCTGCACCTCATGACCCTCCCATGATCGACTGACAACCTCGAGTGGTGAACGCTTGCCCGCCGAACAAAGAACAGTCAGGAGGCCAGAGACTGATGCCGGAGTGCGGTACCCCAGAGGCCCCACGGGCTGCCACGAGTTGTCCAGAGTCGGACACTCTATCATCTAACTCAGCGGACTCTTTCAGGGCTCAGCTGTGCTTGGTCAACCGACGCCTAGATGAGTCCAGAGAAAGTTTCACAAGTCAAAGGAAGAACACGGGGAAGACACCTTCAGGGGATCTCCTTTTATCCCAGAGATCCAAGACAAGCTGATTCCTCTCAATTTTCGCCTCTCGACATTGGAGGCCTACGATGGCAGCTCTGACCCGACGGAGCATGTCACCACCTTCCGGGCCCAAATGGCTCTATACGGCACATCCGATGCTTTAATGTGCCGAGCCTTTCCCACCACCCTCCGAGGTCCAGCTCGGATGTGGTACAACAGGTTGAGGCCTTCTTCGGTTTCATCCTTTGATCAACTCGTAAGAGAGTTCGAGCTCAACTTCTTGGCCAGCACTCGGCCCAAGCCAGCTGTGGCCCTCAGACGACCCACCTGCTCCGCCTCGTCCTTGGACAAGAAAGGGGGGACGTTGTCGACATCACGACCCGTCCATTTCAAGCTGAACCCCCAACCTCTGAATGCGCTTACAAAGAAGAAGCGCGACTTCCACCCCTTGTTGTTCGAAGGGGCGCCGCTCACCTTAAAGCCGCTTCTTGCGGTCAGATAGTAACTGCCCTGCTCCTTACCGAGGCGGAAGGAAGCAAGAAAAAGGGTGAGCGTCGGAACGATTCCGGTCGCCCGACACTCCCTGATAAAAGCTATCAGGTAAAGCCACGAGTTCGACGCTACATGGGAGGGTGAAACCCTCCAGTGCCGGAGGCACGACACAACCATCGGGTGAAGAGGAAACCTTAGCCCCGCCTTGAGGGCATCAACTGACAAACCAAACCCGTTTGGGAACGGGTCAAAAGGTCATTGGCCGACTTTAGGAGCGTGGCGCACCGACACATCGACTGCCACAGCAGACCTGGCACGGCGTCCCGAAGCCAACGTGGCGCACCGAGCCAACTCGACACCCTAGATCTGAACGAGGCAACCGCCCACCATCCACACTGCCAGCACACTACACCAACACCGCTTGAGGGTGTACGGAGCGATGCAGCCCCGTCTTGAGCTACTCCAGAGGCACAGAGCAGTATCAAATGAAGCAGGGCCGGACAAATTAGACTGCGCCAACGTCCCAACATACAAGCTGACCACCTATGGCGATGACAGCTTTTAAACACCTACGTACGGAGACGCCGGCGATCATTAACAGCTACGTACGTCAACACACGACAACAGGTATAAAAGCCACCCCTAGGAATAGCACTGGGGGTGGGACCTCATACACACACACACTCCGACTCTCCCATCTCCAACTCTTGCTAATTTAAGCATCGAAGGGGTCGAGTCAGAAATAACCCTCCCAATTTCGACCTATGTGCAGGCACTCGACGGACAGCTAAAGGAGTGATTTTTAGCCTCCACCTGGGAGAACGAGGCCTACGCGCCCTCAACCAGACCTCAGGTTAACACGCTCCAGCTCAGAGGCCATGCTAGTGATCTTGCGCACTCGGGATGGACCAAGCCGTGCTGACACCTCGGCTACGGCATAAAGGTGCAAAACAAATTCCACTATGATTCAATCTAGCCCAAAAATAAAAGAAGTGTGCTGAGTGAAATTAACCTTAATGGTACTCAATTAAGCCCACAGCTATAAAAGCTATCCCTTAAAGCCCAAAGGACGAATGGACTAGGAACCTCTGGAAATGTCACAAGGGTAAAACCTATCTCTACGTTTAAGTTAATCTTTGGCCTCACTCGGCCAGCAAGTATGGGTTCAGCCCCAAACGACGTCTAACTTCACTAATTGGGCATTACCCGGAGCCAAATAATAGAGGCATCATCCTGTAATCGAACAACGAATCACCTCCATTCAAGCGAGATATCACCACTTAGTCGAATAAACAAAGAATCAACCGAACGCAAGTAACAAAGACAAAGGGGTTACTGTCGTACCTAGGGGAAGGGAATCGAGGAGGGCGAGCGCCGTGTCGGCCAGGGTACGAAGCTTGGAGGTCTTCTCCTCCGAGTCTCGAGGGAAATAGGTGTCGCGGAGGTGGTAGAGCTCTTCGGCGGCCGCCGACGCTCTCGCGATCGCTTCGGCCTCATCGCTTCCGCTGCCGCTCATCTCTCCGAATCGGAGTGAGGGCGAAACGAAGGTGATGACGTGATATATGTAGTTCAAATATCACATCTCGACCGGTTGAACCGCCGGTCCTAATCAATGACTCGATTTAATCTTGAGCGGTTTGTTTCGCGGTCCGGTTCTGATGAAACATATAGATTTATTCGCATTAAAAGAATCCGAGGCATCCGGATCCTAAGATCCGAATCCAAAATCCGATAGGTACTAACATATATAGTGCTGTCCCTTATGCATCGCTTTGGTGTGAGCGTTTGGTTTGGGTTTCCTCTTGTGCTTCGATCGGAGACCCAATCGTTAGGGAGGAAGCGTAGGCATCGGAAAGCGGCAGAGATGGCGAACAACAACGACGAGCCCACCTCAGCCCCGCAGCAGGATCGGTGGTACGACATGCGATTGGGTTCCTCCTTCAAGGACAACTCGACTACCAAGTTCTGCACGCTTCGATGTAGGTTATATTAGAACAACTCCGGACTTTCTTTGATTTTGCCTGTCTTTCCTTTGGTTGTTCTTGATGGTGCTCTGGAATCGCCTGATTCTTGGCTCTGGGTGGGATTTGAATTGTTTTGGGTTATCTCTTGGGTGGAATTTGGGCATTGAAAGAATACTTTTATAACGATTATTGAGAAAAGAAAGATTATTTTGTGGGCGGACTTCTTGGAATTTGTGCTTTTTTTCTGGATTATTTATGTTGTGATGTTCGTTTGGACTGTGAAAAGTAGCTTTTAGGGTTTTTTCTCTCTTATTTTTTGGCTGTTATCGTCAAATTTGAGTGGTAAGTACATAAAAGAGGGGATCTGTACCTTCTGTTCCTTACCTTCATGATATTAATGTAATTCTGGTAGAGAAGATGCATTTTGTTTGAAAAGGAACCTAATGATGTTTTGTTATAGGAAAAAGCTATTTTGTTTAACTTTTAAGCTTAAACGTTTGACATAGGGATCTAGGCGTGCTTTCTTATTACCAAATCGAAACGTTGGACATAGGGATAATCAGGGTTTTGCTATGTTTCGAAGTGTCACCGAATGAAAATGTGTTTAGGGACTCAGGATTGGGATGGGATGAGGTGTATATAGCAAGAGGGCATCAAAAATATAGTAGGCACAACGCCCACGCTTGGAGAATATAACGAAAATTTTCCATCTAAGCACCAAGGAATAAAATTAGAGGAAATATATTTGAAGTTTGAACTTCGAACAATTAAGATATTCACACGGTTCCTTTCAGAGTTCCAACATAAGGTCAATCCTAGAATTATAGTGTCTGATCAAATAGGTAAGTCTATTGGAAAACCTCAGGTAGAACTGGAATTTGTTAGAAGACTCGAGCAGCAGAAGAAGCAAGTCTAAACTGACAAAAAAGCTTGTTTTTCAATTTGAAGAAAAACATTAGGCTAAATGGAATGCTTGCTTTTCTCCATTCTCTTGATTAATTATTCATTTCTGTCTTTTACCTACAAACTCAGAAGTAATTATTATCACCTTGGTCTCATATCCATCTCTTAGGAAGAGAAGGTTGTCTGTGAATGCATATTGATAGAAATTATCACATAACTTGACCTTTGATAGTCTCAAAATAAAAAAAGCAAAGTATATACAAATAGTTGTATATGTGATTACAGGAATTTAAATATCTACAGGGTCCAGTGTCATTCTCACCAACTAGCTCAAAATACCAGGAATATTTTATCCAAGTTTTAGGTTATAGCATTGCTATTTTGATGTTGTTGGTTATTTTCGGCATCAGTATAAAGCCTAAGAAAGTTAAAGGATAACTTTTACACTATGGAGCATGATACATAGTATTGGAGCTTAAAAAACGATGGAACTTAGTGACATTTGGTGCTATACAGAAGGTGCTCCTGTAAAGTAGAAAGCGGCCTTTTCTTGGATAACATGTATCTGAAGTTATTTCCACTGTCAAAGATATTTTATTGCAGAATTAAAACTTAGTTGTTAAAAATTCACCATTAGTTGCTTTTGCTGAACTTCATTTGTTTCTCTCATTTATTTAACTAAGATATAGAAGTAAGGTTTTGTTTTTATCTGTAACTACTAGATGAATTTAAGCCAGCATCAATTGACAAGAGCCAACCTGGATCACTGTATAAGAACAAGGAAAATAGGGTCACTGTCGAGTTCCATAATAATCAGCCTGGAAAGTCAAATGTTTCCTTTGAGGGGAGCAGTGAAGACTACAAGGACAATGATGCGGTTTTGTTTTTTGATGGAGAGACTTTTAGATTGGAGCGATTGCATCGGGCAGTAAAGAGGTTGAGGCATGTCCGGTTGCCTGGTGAGCATGCTGCTGCATCTAACATGACACCTGCACCCCCAGCTGGGACAACCACAGATTCTCGTTCTCCTCCACTTGGGAAGATCTCCAAAGCACAAGCATTGAACAAAACAGTAATGCATCCAGTGCCTGTAAGTACCAATATAAAATGAAACTGTTAAAGTTTGCAAATTTGATTATTTATGCAACATTGATATTCTGAAATTAAAGTTTGCAAATTTGATTATTTATGCAACATGTATATTCTGAAATCTGATATAGATGTGAACATGATTTTGCATATTAGTTGGTATATATGGGTCCAGTGGGATACTGGTCCATTTGGTTGATCCTTCTATCTTAAACCAATAAAAATTTTATTATGATATAAAATTACAAAGCAATGTGCTAGAATATGTATATAAGCAAAAACCTGGCTTAAATTTTTTTTTTTCTGTCAATTTCTTAATTTTTTTTAACTTCTCCAAGTCATCTTTTAGATGTAACCATCTAAGTTGCAACTTAAGTTACCTTTTCTTGCTTTGGCATTGCTGGTAAATTGTGATGCTCATGTTATATTTCGTTCTATTTGTCTATTAAATTATATAGATATCATCTAATTGTTTACCTAAGATTGCACCATTTTTCATGATTGAATTGTAAAATTTTAGTGCTTCTCCTTCAAGAATGTCTATTTTAATTTTCCATGTGGTTTGATTGTTGTACAGGTTGAGGTAGAACGAATTGATATTGGTGAACCAGAAAGTTCAGGTATTACCCCCTGTGGGATTTATTCATTTTGAACTAATTTAAGAATCATCCTGCATAATTTCAGAAATGTATGTATGTGTGTATGTATGTATGTATGTTTGTTTGTCCCTTTTTTTATCAACTATTCCCAGTAGTTATGAATTCCATTATGTAATTTTAATATTGAAGAATTGTTTGCTTATAATTTGTGTAGGTTTATTAGTTGTATAACTAAGTAACAACAGAATGTCCTGATATCTTTTCATGCCATTTTGCAACTGCTGATGGGTCATATGATTTTTTTTCCCTTTTCTTAACCAAGAAAGAAATTCATCTTGAATAATCACTTACCATGTTTTATTTGAGTTCTTTAGCAGTGTTTACTTTTGCCTCTCTGTACCAGTTAGAACTTACCTATGAAGCAACAGCATTTGAGGCAAATCAAAAAACATAAATAAATAAAGCTTTCTGTTAAAAATCTGGCTGCACTTCTCATTTTCTGGTCATTCCTCAATTGATATTCAGGAGGATTTTTCCTCTTCTCAGTGACCTCAGGTTTTTCAACTTCTATCTCTTATTTTTCTTATTATCTTAAATTGGCATCTCTTTATTAAAACTCTCCATAGTTTCATACTGTTTCACTGACATATTATTTTCACTAATGTCCTTTAAGTATTTGGATTACAACCTCAAAAGGATTTTTTTTTTTTCCTGGAATGGGATGATATGAGTATAGTGTTGATTTTGTTGGAAGCAATTTCCCTCTTCTGTGTAGTGTATAATTTTCACAAGATAACTGAAGATATTGGCCTTCCTATCTATGATCATTCACAATGTTTCCAGTTATTTTGGCTTTGAATTAATGAAGGATTACTATAAGATGCAGATACTGATTACAGAAAATTATATAATACCCTACTTGTACACTGCTAGAATGCAAGTTGACATTGTGATACCTGATGAATATCATAATAAAGTCCACAGGCAAGGCTGCTTTGCAGCGTTGAAACATGTTGCAGTAGAGAATCTCTGTAGATGTAATTCTTTTACTTCTAATTTCCATTTAAATTTTTTCAGGTGCTATTATTCTTGTTCTTTTGTATAACATTTGCATGTTTGGATCACAGTCAACTTAAATTAATGTGTCATCTTTGGCCTGCACAGCTCCAAGACCCATGAACAAGGGCTCTGGTCTTCCTTCGGTGCCTGTTAATCCATTCCCATCTCCTGATCCAAAATCATCCGAGGAAAACCTGGATATCCTTGGGGATGACGATGGAGGGACACCAAGCAAGGCAATTGTTGGACAGGCAGAAGATGCAGGATTTGACATCAATATATCAAATCAGAATGATACGGATGATGAGATTGCGGACGTTGATGTAAGTGATGAGGCAGATGAGGGGCTGAATGCTGCTGAGGCCCTACGAGCACAGGCAAATGCTGTGGAGGAGCAGCAGCAGGAGACCTCCAGCTCCAGCGGCAGCGGGAGTGGAAGCAGTAGCAGTGGCAGCGGGAGCGGAAGCAGTAGCAGTGACAGCGACGGCAGCGATGATGACTCAGCCAGCTCAGGTGGTGATGTTGATACATAAAATGCGTCCAGGCACAGTCGATAAACAACATTGCAAGAACAATGCAAATGCATAGCTGATGTAACAAAAAGCAAGCTTTTGCCTCCATGGTTGCACTCAATCTTTAGCACAATGCACTCACTTGGTTTTGTAAGTGAGTGCCTATCTGGTACATGCTCCAAAAGTTGAGCTTTACGATTAGTTGCATTGCAAGTGATGCCGGAAAGTTACGATGAAACACTTCACAGGGAGAATTGTATGCTCAAAGTCATTATCCCAGGTCATTTTTTACTGGTATATTTCACATTGCTGTTGAGAATTAACATGGGGACCTGCTTGTGGTTCATGATTGATTCTTTATCATGTATTCGGTTCTGTCAAAATCCTGTTTATTTTCTTATTGTCATTTCATGTTCCATTTTTTCTTCTCAGGATTGTATGTTAGCTTGTGCTTCTCATGATCAGGCCGAGGCTGATCATCGGTATCAGTGCGTCACCAAATATATGGAAAAAATGAATGAGGAGAGCAAGTTTTTTTTAGGATTTAAATCAAAACATTGGCTCAACAAAAGCAAATATCATTTTTATTATGATCATCGTGGAAGAGGTAAAATGGGAGTGAAAATCGAAGTGTTTTGAGTCGATATTTACAATATTTGGTACAAATGGGTGGCTTATGTTCCAATAAAAATTGCAAAGAAAGTTTCACTGGACATCAAATGATATATATGATGTTCATGTACTAACCAATCTGAGATACGGAATATAAGTTAAAAATAAAATGAAGTGAAGAATTTTTTTTCCATTCCAAAAGCTAGAGAATGAAGATAGTTTTGTGATACGGGCAGCAGAGAAGCCTCGAGTGCCTTGATTGTCCACCACTTCTTTTGACTATTCTTTTACTCGTTATTTGCTTGTTTTCGGATCATTTTTGACCGCACGAGCACCGTCATTTGCTTGTTTTCGGATCATTTTTGGCCGAACGAGCACCGTCATGCTACCCATGAGCTCTTCTTGTGCCACTCGGAGTTTTCGGATCATTTTTGGTCGAACGAGCACCGTCATGCTACCCATGAGCTCTTCTTGTGCTACTCGGGGTTTCTAGAATACTAAGATGACTAAATTTTACTTATCTCTCTAAGCCTTCGAGGTTCTAAAAAATCGCTCATCGGTTCCCTCCGCCTTTCATTATTTGGGAATAAAAATTTCTGTCAACTGAATGCATCACAAAAAGAAAAAATTCAAACAAAATGCATTTATGTGAATATGTAATGCCACTAATCCGTTTTATATTAAACTAAGTCGGGCTATACATATTTGCCACAAACCTTATACGATATGCATCACAAGATGTCACAGCAATTCCAGCAACAGAAAGTAGCAAAGTAGGATCAGATTTATAATTAGGATTCATAATAATAATGCACAACCAATTACGCTGTTAAATGATGATGATGAATAACATGAACTTTTTCCACAATTCAAGATATAAGAATGGCAGTGTTGAACATCCAAGAAAACAGTCATTTATGACTACAGTGTTAAACCTCCAAATTTCTGTATTTTATCCAAAAATGACCGAGCTCTCCAAAACAAAGATAGCTCATGCCTTACATTAGGCAGCTTCCATGTAAAAGCAAAAGTAAACTATTCAAGCAACAAAAAAGAGCAAGAAGCATCCTTCTTTAACCAGAAGCCAATGTAATTCGCTGTCGTCATAACAGAGCTTTGTGCCTGATATCCTGATTCATATTGGTGTGTCCTGGTACGATCTCGAGATAAATGGTTCGCGAGGGTTTTGGCATCTTCCAATTTTTCTCATCTAAACTTTGTGCTTGCTTCTACCAATCACATCTGATACTTCCATGAAACTTTTGGCAGCAGATATTCTTTTTTTTCTCTTGGTCATTGTGAAATGCGCTCTACGAGAATAGTTAAGAGAATAAAATGTCAAGCATGACCCATAAATAGAATCCCTTAACCTGTCAGTGGAGTCTTTCTTAACTGATCCAGCTTCAATCCAAAATCAACAGCCAAATCCCTTCTTCCTCCATCTAGAAGAGTTTCTTTTAATTTACTGTATAATTGACCAGGAGGTCTGATTCCCTTATCCAACATCTCCTGGAAGTATCTGCAAGCATCATCCAACCTATTCTCATAGCACAGCCCATTAATCAATGCTGAAAACATATGCATACAAGGAAGAATTCCCTTAGCATTCATTTGATTCCATACTTTCATGGCCATGTCAATTCTTTCCACGCTACAGAACATGCTGACCATCATTGTATATGTATTTAGCTGGGGCTCACAACCAATGTCCCTACCCATCCTACGGAAGATCTCATAAGCCTCTTCTGTTTTTCCTGCTTTGATAAGATGGTGCAGAATAATGTCACAGGTACGAGCATTTGGACCAATGCCACAACTCTTCATCTCATCCACCACTCTAAATGCATCCTCAAACTTCATAACCCAACAGTAAGAACCCACGAGAGCATTGTAAGTTGGTATCTCAGGGGGGAAACCACTAGCTTTAGAAAGTTCAAAGTACTTCAAAGCTTCGTCCAATCTCTTCTCTGAACCTAGTCCATTGATGAGAGAACAGTATATATGAGGGCTTGGCTTGCAATTGTTTGCTTCCATCTCATGAAAGATTTTAACAGCATCATCACATCTTCCAGACTTGCAGAAAGCATTTATGAGTATGCCGTAGGTGACAACATCTGGTTTAAATCCTTCATCAATCATCTCATGAAAAACAGCTTTCAGGCTCGACAAATCCCGAACATGACCCCAACCTTCCAAAAGAATGGTATATGTCTTAAGATCAGGAGTAAATCTTTTTCTTCTCTTCATTTCATTAAAAATCTCCTGAGCCCTTTCAACATGCTTAGACTTGCTTATAATATCTATCAAGCAGTTATAGTCTGATAATTCTGGTTCCAACCCAAAAAGTGTCATCTTTTCAAAAGTTTCAATTGCTTCCCTAATATTCCTAGCTCGGGCATATCTCCGGGTAATCAACGCAAAAGTCTCTTTCTTCAACAAATTCCTATGCTTCATAAAATCCACCAAACTCCAAATCAACCTAAATTGCTTGATCTTCCCAAGTGCTTCGATTAGATGGTGGAAAATTTCAGATGTATGGTTAAAACCTTGCTGCTTCTCGGCCCAGCGAAAGAAGACGAGTGCAAGCATCCCTGCATTACCTAGCTTCTTCACAACCTCAGCCACCAAGGTTGGGCAGACAGTCACTCCAGCTTCATCTAGACAAGAAGTAATGTTCGAATTCGGCTGGTTGGACAGTATCTTACAAATCCTCTCAGCTTCCTCCAAGATTCGCACTGAAGAGGAAGTTGGAGCCTCATTCTCAGTGGCAGGCTCGACAATAAATTCTGTCTCTGTTAAATCATGTTTGGATCTTGAGAAACCCATTGCATACCACAATCCACAGGCTGCAAATCGTTGGCCATTATGTTGCCATACATCCTTCCTGCTGGGTTTAAGCTCTATATCTTGTATTGGACCACACAAACTGTGAAAACGATCGACAAAAGTAACTAAAAGATCAGGGTGGCCAATTACAGTGCGAAAAGCTATGAACTTTCTCTTTGTTGGTGCTTTTGGTAGTGACCCCAAGTGTTGAAGTAAACCCATTTCTTATCTAAGAACAAAGAACCACATAGAACTAAGAGAGAGTACTCATCCTGCAACGCGGGCAATCCGGATTCCAAGGAAGCGAGGAAGGCACCTCATCCTATCGGCTCTCTTCCTTCCTTCTTTTCCACGTCGAATTGAATGAAGTAGAGCGAAGAACTCTCAATTTTTCCCTGTGAGAAATCGAAGGCCAAAAGAAAGAATTTGGCTTCAAATTGCCCGGAATTACACGAGGAGATCAAGAGAACAGAGAAAATATCGGCACCTTACCTCCAAATCGGATCCAAGAAAGCAGAGGGAAGCACGCACAAACCCTAGTTTTGTTTGCATTGTTCTTTTAATGCATTAATATAACGCGTTCCCGTTTTAATATCTTATATATCGGTGTTTTATCGGATCTTATCAGACCGATACCGACCGATACGAACAATATAACGGTTCTCGAGCTCGGCCTACAAAACCCCGAACAGAAGACGAGGGAAACACCGGATGCGGACTCCGCCTCCTCCTCTTCTGGGGCGGAGCGCTCTCGATGCCTCTGCCGCCCTACCTCTGTCGCTGACGTCCTCTCCTTTCATTTCTTTGCGGATTATTTGGTCTGCTTCTCGTTTGATTCACGTGGACTGCGACGCAGGCGTCTGCATCTGCTCTTGAATGCGTTGGTCGATGCGTCTCAAGCTCCCAATTCGATCTCTCAGGTATTCGGTAATCCTCGAACAAATCTTGACTTGCAACGCTATAGTTGGGTATGCCATCGTAGCGATCTCGTCGCGTTTGGAGGTGACTTTGATGGTCGTATCCTGTTTTATTTGGTATTAGTGCTATTTAATTTCTGTTCTTAGGAACTGTATGGAGATCATTCATTTAGTGGGTTGAAGAAGCGATAGGTTATGGTCCCTGTTCTTAACCTAACATTGCTAGAAAACTTAGCCTTTCATGGTCTACATGATTCCATGAAATCATCCGGAATTGAGAGAACATGTTAGATTGAAATGCTTTGGACTATGCAGCAAATATTGCTATGCTATGCTAGTGGATTATTTACTTTCTGTTGGAGAAATGATAGAGCAAGTCCCACCATATGTGTTTTGATTATAACAAATGAAATGTTCCACAGCAGGAGATCAAGGAAGAACCTGAAGGTTTTGACAGTACAAATATATCTCATCTTGCTATATCAACTTATATTCAGATGGGATTGCATTTAATTAGGTCTGGTTGAATCCAAACTGGATTTTGGTTTTGTTTTGGGTCGATTCGAGCCCCCATTACCATTGTCATTCTATTCAAGTTGTAGCCCGAGTCTCAATAGGGGTGTTTGTTGTATGGATGACAATAGAAGGTTTGACTCGATATTAGGGTTAGGAATGGGTTAGGTTGGATTGGTTCAATTGGACCACAAAGGATGGTTGACCCTGTTGAATCTCGGATTTTGATTATGAAATCAATTGATGGGTTTACGATCTAATCTGTGTTTTGAGTGACGCAGGACCAACTTCAATCAGAAATGACCCTGTTGAATCTCGGATTTTGATAATGAAATCAATTGATAAATTTACGATCTAATCTACGTTTTGAGTGACGCAAGACTAACTTCGATCAAAAAAGATAAATCAATTAAAGCAGGAGGAATCAGACGTTGAGCTGGAGTAAAACATGTAAGGAGATTGGACGTCAAGTTGGAGAATCGGTTGACGTACTGGCAGAAGGACTTCGTGCCATGAGTTCGAGCATCGGGTCGAAGGATCGGATTTTGCGCCAAGGAGATCGGATGTTGCGGAGATCAACAAGTCGATTGGGTAATATACCGAAAGACAGGACGATGCGTTGAAAGATCGAACTAAGCGTTGGATGAACCAATGACATGTCGGATAACATAGGATTCATGCTTGTAATAATTTGTCTAGATCGAAATAGTTTAGGTATAATTGAGCTAGTTTCGAGTGTAATCAGGCTAACTCAATTAGGGGCCCATTGGACCGGAGTTGGGGCTATTTGGGCCAAGAGAAAGGCCCATTCAGTGACCCTTAGCTGGCTCAGGCGGTGGCACCGCCTGAGGCTCGGCCTCCCAGGTGGTTTGGGCGGTGGTACCGCCCTATTAAGTGGTGGTACTGCTAGAGTCCAGTATTCGAGACTCTATCAGGGTACCGCCCAGTGTTAGACTGACAGGCGGTGGTACCACCTAGTACTAGCGGTGGTACCGCCAGTACCCCGAAAACCCGGGATGAGACCATTTTGGCTCCAAATTTGAATCCATTTGGGGCCTATAAATACCTCACTCATCTCTGCTTAGAAAAGAGAACTGAAACAAAATTAGTGTGAAAACTTTACAGTAAATCCTTGAGAATTCCCCTCGAACTCTAAGTTTCGGTTTTAGTTTAGGAGAGGGGTGAGTGGCTTGTAAAGATTAACTCCTGAACCTGTGAAAAGAAGAAAAGAATTGTAAGGATAGTTGATCTTCGTCCATTTGAAAGAAGATCGATAGTAGAAGCCGGTTGCCTCGAGTGAAGAGGAATTAGGAGTGGACATAGGTCACGACGACCAAACCACTATAAATTCGATATATTCGGTTTGCATTTCTGTTCTGCTTTTCATTCTCATATTGCAAACTAATTTACATACTTACTACTCTCACTAATCTTACGAACATGCTCTCTAAGTTTAAACACTTTGCGGCAAACTTTATAACAGCTTTCTTCTTCAAGTTTAAGAAAAATCACGTGCATTTAGTAGTTTTATCTGCCTAAATTAATTTTCTTTCTCCTTCCGCTTGCTGCTTCTCGATTTAAGTAGCCAAAGTGGTCTCACTGATGGGAATTGTTCTTGGAGAAAACTATACATGGAATTGATTCGTTCTGGTGTAAAGCCAAATACAAGCAGTTGGATATCATGCAGAGGACTGAAGACTGTTGAAGCCTACTTTGAAGAAAGTTAATGCACGACGACACACAATTTGGTTTGTGTACAGTGTTGCCACAGAGAAGGAACTCTACATCACCTGTATGGCTGTATCCATATTTAGTGGTTTTATTACATAGTTCCATCTTTTTTTCTCCCTTTTTCCTCCTAGCAATCACCGGTTACATGACATGTGTTTGGTTTGACTTTTACATTCAAAAAGTTTTAATAGATCATATATTCTCTTGCGGAGAAAATTTAAGAGATGAGTTTGTTTGATCAACTAGAATTTTTTATTTGAAAATAATTTTGTTTAAAGAAAACTATAAAATTAACAATTAACTATTATATAAATACCCTATATATTTTATGATTTTGGTGTGTGGGAAGAAAGAAAAAATTTGTGCTCCTAAGATTTTCTGTTTCTAATAGATCAACAAAGTTTCATGGAGAATTATTGAGTTTGTGAGAAGATGTAGAAGAAGTTTAAAGTTTGAATTGATATAAAAAAGAGTCTTTCTCAAGATATTTTTATCCTCGTATTGTGATTTTTTGTTCTTATATTCTATAATATTCCAAAGCAACTTGCTTCCTAGCACATAGAACTCTGCATGATTTTATGAATATGTATTGAGATAATGCTTCCTAGCACATAGACTTTAAATGACCAACTGTAGTTACTCTTGTTATTACTGTTATTACAGTTTGTGTCCAATTGGTCATGAGAAAGTAATCAATTTCCTTTTTTAATGTCATTTCAAGTGGATGACATTATTTGGCAACTGTGTTTCACGTAGGTTGCTTTGTTGGTAGTATGAAAATTTTGGGGTTATTTCAGTGACATGGCTCAGTTGTTTTTTATTTGAGGCAAGGAAGTGATCGGGTAAGTGTATGACAAAGTTATGGGATCTCACAGTTTCTTGATCCAAACATTTGATGCTTGATCTGCTTGCATGAAAGCTAAACCAATGACTAAATGGGCACAAACATCACGTTTTAAAAACTGAATCATTGATTTGGGACTTTACAGCTTTGTCGGTGTTGTTGTTATTGATTGATTGATTAAAAAAGAATAAAAAAGAAATGTGTTGAAAGAGTTCAATAAAACTAATAGGTTTCAGACATCAGTAGATATTGGAATTCTGTTTAGTTTGCAGATGCATTGTCATAAAGATAGCAAGGCAAGGAAAAACACAATTCATTAGAGAAACAATTTTTATGTGCATCTAAGATAAAACTAAAGTGGGTTTCATTGCAGATGCCACTGTCATATGTTGTGCCATTTTAATCTTTTTCTGACTTATGCTAAGAGTGATTTTTCTTTTTCTGCAGATACACACAAATTATATGCCATGTTGGTTAAATTTTTCCTTCGGATGCAAGGATCACCATGTTGAATTGAGTTGATTGCAGATGCCAAGGAGAAGATGGAGCTGATCACTCTAACCCTGGGAAGTTACTTTTGGATGGTGAGTGGGAAATCACCACAACCCAGCTTGATCTTCTTCCAGCTCATGCGCTGAAACTTAGGCAAGTAAGTCCTGGAATGGTCCACCGAGAAGAATCTCTCACACTTGTATGCAGGCCACATGAAGCCAAACTGGAGCAGGTGAGGAACAGTAGCATGTTTTTGCACTGACATAGCAGATCCTTCATTGATGATCTTATTGAAGTATGCTTATTTCACACAACCATACTTTTGATTTAATTAGTGATACAATGCTGATCAGAGTTCTAATAGCTGTGCTTTTATGATGGCATTTAAGGTTTCTACTGTTCATCATGGAACCAGAAATCCATGCTTTTTCTTCCACCACTTGCTTCGAACACAGACCTTCTCCAAAAGCACCAGGAAGATCACATCATCTCATGTCCTATTCACTCATCCTGTTACTCTCCTTGGCAGCTGCAGCAGTACTGTCACACCTCTGGCATCGGACTCCTTCAAGAGCAGCGATTGAAAGATCATCATAAAACGTCACAAGTGAACACACAGTCAACTGAATCGTGGCCTTCTTGATCATTCCTTACAGTGGTCAAGGAAAGCAGAATGCAGTATCATCAGTGTCTGTGCTGTCTCCTAATCTTCCACGGCCATTTGTCTCACCAAACTGTATATATGATCGACTGAAAAGGGCAAGCATTGATCATTTGGGTGCAGTAGCATCAGTATCCGTGCCCTAATTATGATGCAGGAGCCTGTCTCTGCACTCCTAATGGTTTCATGGCATCCTAGGGGAACAAATGGCTCAGTGAACTGCATACAGTTATTTGGCAAGGAAACTTCTTGATCGTTCTTCATCAGTGTCATCTGTGCTCTTAAGTATGATGCAGGAGACTCTGCACTCAATGTTCTTCCAAGGCACCAGAGGAGAACAATGGCTCAGTAAACTGCACAAGACTCAGCTTATAGATCATTCTTCATCAGTGTCATCTGTGCTCCAAGTATGATGTAGGAGACTGTGTCTGCACGCCTAATCTTTCATGGCATCCGAGGAGAACAAATCAGTGAACTGCATATAGTCAACCGACAAGGGAAGTTCTTGATCATTCTGCATCAGTGACATCTGTGCTGCTCTAAGTATGATGCAGGAGACTGTGTCTGCACTCCTAATCTCTCATGGCCTTCCAGAGAACAAATGGCTCGGTAAACTGCAAGCAGTCAAACTGATAAAAGCAACCTCTTGATCATTGTTCACATTGACTCTGCTGCTGCTTTCCTAATCTCAAGGCCTAATCTCTGAGGAGGAGAACAGGGCATGGCTCAGAAAACCAAAACATCAAGAACAAGAGAGGAAGAGGTAAGAGAATAAAACAAAAGGGGGAAGGGGGAGAATTAAATGCTCGGGAGACCCGCATGCAGAGGTGCAGCTGTCACGTAATGATGGTGGTGGGTTGACAACTTTAAACCAGCAGCCCCCGTTTCTGCAGAGAGAGAGAGGAGAGAGGACGAGCCTTTGGGTTGGCGAAGGACTTCATTGCCAGTCTTTGTTTGCTGTAAAATATTTGCTAATGTACTTTACAGATGGCCACCAGATTTTTGTGTTCTAAGTCCAAGTATTAAATGCATATTCTGTGAATTAGCATCAGCATTCATTACTCATGGCAGAGAGAGAGAGAGAGAGAGAGGGACAGAGTCTTTATCCTGATCACTGCTCATCATGATGTTGTATATGATCATTAGCCTCCGTCATATGAGAACACTTGGGAATTTGGTAGATGACTGTCCTTCTCCTCTTTCCACCAAATAATCCACACATCCTTTTCATCAGCATGATTTATCTTAAAAGTTCATATTGTTTACATCCAAATCATGCATTAAGAAGTCATAAGATTGTTTCTAATACGAGATTTAAGAAAGATCAAATATTATTGTAGTGTAAATTCACTCATGCTCATATATAAATCCAACAATTATTCGAATATAGACACAAGAAATGTATCAAAACATGACAACAATCGAACTTCCACAATAAAATAATGGCAAAAATTACATATGTATACATAAATCTAAAACAATTATCCCTCTAAATCTAAGTTTAAAAAATCATTAAAATATATTTGAACTTAGATCAGCTAATACTGACAGTAATTGGTCACATTAACCAAAGACAATTTGAGGATTTCAATATTTGAAGCTAACAAGTTCTTTGCAAACTTTGAGAGGATGCATATGCAAAAATTCCCACAATAAAAAGACAGGAAGAATGGGACAAAAGGTTCCTCGAAATCCCCACCCCAGCAAGCGTCTCAGTGGAAACATTGGAGTCCTTTTCACCACCTCGGTAACGGTTGTCTTCCAAGCTACACTTCCATTGCCAAAAGCATGGAGTTGGAGAGAGAAGATGAGACTTTTTGGGAGGCAATGAGTGGGATTAGGGTTGGCTTGAGTTGGGCCCATTCCACATTTACCTCCAACCTCATGATGATGATGATCAGGTTGTGAAAGCTAATCATCTTTGTTCTTTTTCTAATCCTTTTAGCTTTATGTTGTTTTGGAAAAGGAGTATTATCTGACTTCAAAAGGCAAGTCAGATGTTTTTTGTGCTGAATATCATAACTTGAAATAAAATATATAAGTATGAAAATATGATTATATTTGATAATAAATCAGAGCTCGACACCTCGATACGAATTACTTGATATACTCGCATAAAATCTAAAATAAAATATTTTTCACCATGCTAAGATTTATAAAAAGAGAGTTTTTTTAATTATACTTAGATACTCTAATTTTGTATAATCTTTTGGATTTAGAGAAGTTCACAAACTAAAAGGGTAAGACATAAAAGGAGTGATAAACTCAGTGCATTTAACATTAAATCACTTGATTATCGGAAAAACTAATAAGATCGATTTAATTTGACAATGTCGAGTTAAGTCTAACATATTGTCATACTTATATTTTATTATAAAATTTATTGATCAATTTACAATTATATTTTCTTATTTGAGTACATAAAATTATTTTCACATACATCAACAATTCCAAGCATTTCAATATGTGGTGAATTTATTTATTTTTTCTAACTTTGATTAGAAATATTTTGAGCCAATCGATTTGTTTGCCCTTCGTGTATAAACAAATTTTGTTCGTCCATAAGGCTCATATTTAGTGTTACAAACATAAAAATTGTAGACTATATATGTTGACAAAATTATCATGGTAATATGATTTATCTTTTGTTTTGTTGTGCCAAAACATAATCCATTGCATATGGTCTAAAGCTTGCATTTGGTCTTTATTGTGCTAATTCATAGGAAAAATAGTAAATGCATGTTGGACCATATTTTCTCATGAAATGTTGATAGTTGGTCAAACCATACTAGTTTGCATGGTTGACCTGCCAATATCTCAGGCAAATATGGGCCCATGCATTGTTGATGTGATTGAAGGATAGCCATGCAATTGGCATGACAAGCCATGTTAAATAGAATTGCTCACATAATAAAAATAAAAGAGTAGAAGTGAGATTTATTATTTCTTTCTTTTTTCTTCTCCTTTCCCAATTCTTGAGAAAAATCTTTTGTCCTTCAACTTTACTAGTGTTCCTCCTTTTATAACATAAGATGAAAATATCAGTAATTTATTTTTTTCCATCTCATCCAATTGAATCAATACATCTAATTCAACTAATTCAACTTAAACCAACATTTAGAGTAATTCAAGATCAAGTGTACTGAAATTTAGTTTAAAAAAAAACACATGAGACTTCTATTAGATGCATAATTTGATTTTTTTTAAATATTAAAATATATATTTTTTAAATATAATAATACTAATAATAATATTATTATTATTAAAAGATAAACGTATGATAAATTGATTAAAAAATAGAGTAAAGATGAGGTATTTTATCTCTATAAATATTTTTTTCCTTGAAAAAAAAAAAGATTAATTGAATATCAATTCCTATAATGATAGTAGAGTTACGATTACTAGCTTATGAGATTTTACAAAAAAGAAACACGTTAAAAAAATTTAGTGATATTGAAATACGATAGACGGGAAAACATGCGAAGGGAGCATGAGTGGAATAGCGAAGCGGAGAAGAAGACGATTTACATGGATATCATGATTAGGGAGATGAAAATTATGAGTAATATTTTTTAAAAAAATGATTTTATATATATATGAAAATAAATATTTTTTTTTAAATTTAGCCATATATATATATATATATATATATATATATATATATATATTTATTTATTTATTAG